CTTGCTCGTCAGTGTCTTCTGAATGCTTTGCATTTATTGACCAGTTCTGAATCAAAAGGTAACAAGTCCACACAGTCTCATGCTTCTGGTCTGGAAGAAAGTGAAACAAGAGAAGCAGTACCATCCAAGAATGGATCAACTGACCCTAAGTCACTGAACCTGCCAGCATCTGGTCAGGTTAATGCAAATGGGGAGGTGAAAGAGCAAAAGGGTGCAAACAGTCAGAATGCCGCCTTCTTGAATTCTCTTGGTGAGTATGAAGCCACATGTCGAAAAGAGAATCTGATGATTGAGCAAGCTGCATTGGCTGATTTGGCTTTTGTAGAACTGGAATTGGGAAATGCATTGAAGGCTCTTACAATTGCACGATCTCTCTTGAAAGTCCAAGAATGTTCTAGAATATACATCTTTCTTGGTAATGTGTATGCTGCTGAAGCTCTATGCTTGCTGAACCGGGCAAAGGAAGCTGCAGAGCATTTGTCAACCTATATCTCCAGTGGCAAGGATGTTGATCTGCCCTTTAGTGAAGAGGATTCTGAAATGTGGAAACAGGAGAAAACATTGGAATCGGAAGATACTAATGTTGGATCAGCTGCTGTGAACTCCTTTCCTTCAGAGGAATCTCAAGCATTTGTGTTTGTTAAGCCAGAAGAGTCCCGCGGAATTCTCTTCGCAAACTTAGCTGCCATGTCTGCTATGCTAGGAGACATTGAACAGGCCCAAACTTATGTGGTACAAGCACTTTTGATAAAACCTCAACGTCCTGAAGCTATTCTTACTGCAGTATACGTGGATCTTCTGTGTGGGAAGACACAAGAAGCTCTCACAAAGTTGAAACAGTGTAGTCGTATTAGGTTCCTACCAGGCAGTCCGACTTTAAGTGGTTCATCATGATGATTCATATCCAGCCCACCTTTCAGTAATGAGTTAGCAGGCAGGTAGTTCAGGAATCCCTTGATAGAGTATATGTACCATATATATAGCTCAATTCAGGAACAAGTTTTTCGTTTCTTCGTTTTTCAAATGTCTATGATTTGCTGGTTTAGGTTTCAGGAAGTGATGGGGGGTGGTGGTGGTGTGGCTGAGATTAGTTCGGTTATTGCAGATACATGCCCATCTTTAAAAGATTCGAGGTGTATTTTTCATACAGAGAGACCCAGTCTAGTTCCCCTTTAGAGATATATAGAGGTTTTATGAACTCCTATGAAAGATGAACCATGAACTTAGAATTTTTTTCCATAAAGTCATTTTAATTCCCAACTTATGGGCTTTTGATTATTTGTCTTAATTTTTTGAAGTTGCTATCTATACATTCGAAAAGGTAACCTCGAATGGTAAATATATTTAAACTATAGCTGTGTTTCGAAAATATATAGCACATGTTTTGCTATGTTGTGTAGTTTTCCCAAGTTAAAACCCAAGGACGATGAGAGCGATCGTTGAAGGGTTAGGACTGGGGCAGCAGAAATTGCTGTATTTGTGCTATCTGAATATAGTATACATCACACATAGATATAGTATACATTTCTTAACGTTTCAACTGTGGCTTTTCGTTTCTTTTCTTCCTTTCCTAGTTTCACACCACCACCACCAACAGTCTCAGTGAAGTACGGAAAGGGTAGTATATGCAGATTTTATCCTAAGCGTGAAAAGGTAGAGAAATTATTTTAGAGTATACGCAAACTTTATCCCTACCCTGAGAAGGTGGAGAGACTATTGAAAATAGACTCCGACTCAAGGAAAAGAGACGCTACTAAGAAAAGTGAGGGATTCTGAAGAAGAAAGGAACAAATAACTGCAAGAAAATAGTGTGATAATCGAAGTACAAAGATAGTAGATAGTAACAGAAATCGGAGGACAAGAAACTCCAAGAAAAATACTATTTTCTAATATCACCAATTAATTATAATTTTTACTTGAGTCGATGTTTCTCTCCTAGTTCTAACAGTAGTTGGAATCATAGGTATTTCCTTGTACGCATTGGATTTCAGATTTTCCTTCTTTTTTTCCCAATCCTATTATATATAGTAGGAATAATATTCCATAAATCCAACTAAAATATGGTCATAATTACGTCTACCTTTTTAAACTCAAATTAGACTTCCTACAACAAACCCCCTCACCATATTGCCTTAGAAACACAAATATTTCTCATAGTTCCAAAAACAAAACAAAATTCTCAATTTTCAAGTATCTTTAAACTTTTAACTAAGACATCATGAAGGTGATAGCAGCTTATTTGTTGGCTCAATTGGGTGGAAATTCTAACCCATCAGCTAATGATTTGAAGAAAATTTTGAATTCTGTTGGTGCTGAAATTGATGATGTGAAAATTGAACTATTATTATCACAAGTTGAAGGCAAAGATATTAATGAGTTAATTGCTGCTGGTAAACAAAGATTGGCTTCTACTACTTGTATGTCTTTTGGATGTACAAATAATAATAATAATAATAATAATAATAATGCCAGTGTTGGTGAACAAGTTATTGATGTTGTTGAAGAGAAAAAAGAGGAAAAGAAGGTTGAGAAAGTGGAAGAGTCTGATGAAGAAGATTTTAATTTTAGTCTCTTTGATTAGAAGTTTTTAGTTTGATTTTTTATTGTTATTTTTATGGAGTATTGTTTTGATTATGTTCTTTTAGGTTTAAAGTTTTGTTGTTTTCTTTTAATACAAGTTTAGTATGTTTGTAGTTAATTATCTTTGCTTCTTCAATATCAATAGCATATTTTTAGTAATTTTTACCAAAGATGAAAGTTGTCGAGTATACGCGACGGATAGGACACGTAGTATTCTTTATTTTTCTCTATTCAAGTCTCGAAATTGTGATTTCTATTTTTTTTTTAAATAGCAACCCTATTCAATATATCACATTCTTTCATTGTTACATGCTTCTAATTTAAAAGTAAGAGTTTCATAAAATTAATTCTAAAAAATCTTTAGTGAAACGAAGGGCTTGGAACCTTGTGATACCTTTTTGGGGTTAAGTGTTTGCCCTAATTTCTTGATCCCACAAAGTTACTTATTTTAAGTCTCTAAAAACTCTAACAATCGATCGAGCTAGTTGCGATATCTTAGAGGGATTTTAGTATCACTTTGAGCATAAATTATGGGACACCCCTAAAGTTTAGAGTGAGTATGTGATTTTTTTAGACAAGTTTAGAGGACAATTTATGTATTATTCCTAATAAAAATAATGGAATCATTTACTTTAATCATCGTCATGTCGTAAAATCATTGAGTTCTTTCAAGGCAAAAACATCATATATTCTCTTATTATATACGAGACAGTTAGTGCTGAAGCAGGCACGTCTCCGTTGACATGCTTGCTTCAGCGTCCTTTTGGAAAAAAAAATTAAAATATTATTTCTTTGGTTCTACTTTAATTTGATTCGGTTTAAAATTTTATTTCTTTTGTTCTACTTTAATTTAATCAATGTATATTTTTTCACAAAAAAATAAAAAATTATTTCTTTTGTTCTACTTTAATTTAATTAGTGTATAATTTTTTCAAAATTATGGAATCCGTTTTAGCTATGACTTTTAGTTTTAAATTCAAGACTTCACGCTGAAGCAGACACGTAAAAAAAAATTAAAAATCAATCAATGTATATTTTTTCACAAAAAAATAAAAAATTATTTCTTTTGTTCTACTTTAATTTAATCAATGTATATTTTTTCACAAAAAAATAAAAAATTATTTCTTTTGTTCTACTTTAATTTAATTAGTGTATAATTTTTTCGAACTTATGGAATCCATTTTAGCTATGACTTTTAGTTTTAAATTCAAGACTTCACACTGAAGTAGACACGTAAAAAAAAATTAAAAATTAGTATTGCTTTTGTTCTACTTTAATTTAATTAGTGTATTAATTTTTTCAAAATTATGGAATCCGTTTTAGCTATGACTTTTAGTTTTAAATTCATATTCTATAGTTATTGCTTTATTATTTTGAATATCGGTAATATTTGTTATATCTTGTAACTACTTTGAGTAAAAAAAATAACGGTCAACGACGAAAAATACTTTAATTATAAATATCTTAATGGACCTCTTCACAATAAATTTGCGCAAACAAAAAATAATTAACCACTTATATATCTAAAAGACATATTAAATTTATTCAACTTTCTAAATTGTACATATATACATAAATTAAAATAAAAAGATACGATGATGTTGGTCCCGTGCTAGCACGGTCTAGTATCTAGTATAATATAAAAGTAACAACGGAACAAAGAACTAAAGGAGAAGATAAGAACAATATTCCAATGTTTAACAAGAATGGTAATTTTAGAGCATTCTCATTAATGATAAAACCTATTGTTTTAATAGTACAAATTTCTCTAAAATATATACCTTCATCAACAGAAATTCCTTAAGAACGAGAAAGCCGACTAAAAGACTATTTCATAACTGACTCTTGTTAGTGAGTCGAGGAGCCTAGGCTCTAAACGAGCTCATCCCTCTCATAGATGCATATACAACTTAAGAATACATACTTAACTATTCTTCTCATCAACGCGATAACGGTACATTGCTTCCATTTAGGAATAATAATACATAAATCACCACAAGTCTTCAACAACAACATTCTCAGTAAAGTCCCACAAAGTGAAGTCTGAGAAGGATAGAATATACACAGATTTTATCTCTAGCGTGAGAAGGTAGAGAAATTATTTTCGATAGATCCTTAATTCAATTACAACATTCTCAGTGTAGTTTCACAAAGTGAAGTCAACGTTTCTCTCCTAGTTCTAATAGTAGTTGGAATCATATGTACTACCTTGTACGTGTTGGATTTTAAGATTTTCCTCTCTTTTTTCCAATCCTATTAGTAGTAGGAATCCTAGCTATTTCATAAATCCAACTAAAATATGCTACTCTTAATTACGTCTAAATCTATTTTAACTCAAATTAGACTTCCTACAACTATCTGCCTATATATACCCTTTAGAAGGACACATATTTCTCATAGTTCCAAAAAAACAAAAAAACTTCTCAATTATCAAGAATTTTATTAAAACTTATAACTAGACATCATGAAGGTGATAGCAGCTTATTTGTTGGCTCAATTAGGTGGCAACTCTAATCCATCTTCTAATGATTTGAAAAAAATCTTGAATTCTGTTGGTGCTGAAATTGATGATGTGAAAATTGAACTATTATTATCACAAGTTGAAGGCAAAGATATTAATGAGTTAATTGCTGCTGGTAAACAAAGATTGGCTTCTACTACTTGTATGTCTTTTGGATGTACAAATAATAATAATAATAATAATAATGCCAGTGTTGGTGGACAGGTTGTTGATGTTGTTGAAGAGAAAAAAGAGGAAAAGAAAGTTGAGAAAGTGGAAGAGTCTGATGAAGAAGATTTTAATTTTAGTCTTTTTGATTAGATGTTATAGTTTTAATTTATTGTTGTTATTTTTATGCACTAGTATTTGTGTTCTTTTGATTATGTTCTTTTAAGTTTAATAAAGTTGTTTTCTTTTAATAAAAGTTTATTATGTTTGTAATTAATTACCTTTGCTTCTCCAATAGCATATTTTTAGTTATTAGTTATGGAGTATACGGGGACGGATAGGATATAGCATTTTCTATTTTTCTTAAATTTTGAAATTGAGATTTCTAGTTAAAGAAGAAGCAACTCTATTCAATACACCACATTCTTCCGATCCATTGTTACATACTTTTAATTTAATAGTAATAATTTGCATAAAATTAGTTCAAAAGGCACTGGTGAAACGAAGGCTTGGAACTTTGTGGTACCTTTTTGGGGCTAGGTGTTTGCCCTAATTTTCTTATTTTATTTTATTTTACTATATTTGAATTTTCCTTTTTCTTTAAGGAAGCACAGAGCGTTATAATAATTTTTTTTTTTGTTAAAAAATAATAATTATAACTTTCTTTCATATTCTTTTCTTGGAGAAAAGGTTACGGGTCTTTATGAGCTCTTATATTAGTGAATTGCTTGTATGTAGGTTAATTTCACCAAATTATTATGTCTCTTTTGGTATGTTTCTCTTCATTGTCTTATTTATCACCATCCTTGTTAATCTTCGCACAACACCTTGTTATTTTCTTGATCCCCCAAAGTTATTTATTTAAGTCTCTAAAAGTATAAATTTCTGACAATCGATCGAGCTAGTTATGATATCTTAGAAGAATTTTAGTATCACTTAGAGCATAAATAGGGGATAGTGTGACACCCCTAAAGTTCTTTCAATGCAAAAACAGAATATAAAAGTCACAAAGGACCAAAGAACTAAAGGAGAAGATAGGAACAATATTCCAATGCTTAAGAAATTGGTAATTTTAGAGCACTCTCATAAATGATAAATCCTAATGTTTTTAACAGTACAAATTTCTTCCTGAAATTCACCAGAAAGTCCTCAAGAACGAGAAAGCTGACTAAAAGACAATTCCATAACCGACTCTTGTTAGCAAATCGAGGAGGCTTGGCTGGTACTAGGCTCTAAAAGAAAACATCCCTCACATAGATGCATATACAACTTAAAAATACATACTTTACCAAGTAAATAAATTGCCCAACAAAATCAGGCTTCACAAGTTCTTACAAAATACAACTGTTCTTTTCACAGACGCGATAACGGTCCATTACTTCCATTTCCTTGAAGGAAAGGGTAATCTGTGTATCCCACAACTGGATCTTGAGTATAGAATGTCTTCCTGTTATACTTATTTAGAGGTGCATTTAGCTTGATTCTCATAACCAAATCAGGATTAGAGATGAAAAGACGTCCATATGACACGAGATCAGCATCACCTTGTGCCACAGCCTCAATTCCTAGCTCCCTAGTGTATCCACCACTGCAAATGAATGTCCCCTGATACGCGTTCCTCAAAGTCCTCATTAAATGCGCCTCCTCCTCTTCACTGCCAAGCCTGCCTGCTTCGGTTTGCCCATATGCTACGTATCGTGGCTGTGTTACATGAAGATAGGCAAGCTTGGAACCAGAATGGAGTTGGATTTTGTTTAGTCTTTCAACAACTGCTAAGCCTAGGCTGAGTGGATTAGAGTCCATGGCATCAAGATGATCTATTGCTGGTGAAACTCTAACGCCTACACGATCAGCTCCTATTGCTGAGACGACTGCTTGAACCACCTGTGTGATGAATTTGCACCGGTTGGCAAGTGATCCACCATACTCATCTGTCCGGTCATTGATCCCATCTTTCAAGAATTGGTCAATCAAGTAACCATGAGCTCCATGGATTTCAATACCATCAAAACCTGTATATATATATGAAATTTTCTGGTGTTAAGACTAACACAGCACAATGAACCAAAAAGAGTGAAAACGAATTAGCAATAAACGGTATCTACCAGAATAAAAACTCTATTTTACCATGAAGGCCTGCTGACGACTTTTTCTAAGCCTCTATTCAGTATTATAGGGTGTATAAGTAATACATAGCAAACCATGGTATTAATTAGCAATAAGAGGGTTATTATTAGTACATGGATAAGCATGGTTAAAGACAAAACTGTCCTTAATACACCAAATAAGAAATAATCCTAGCATAAGTAATGCCAACATTACTAATACACCGGCCTATTCAGTACTATTCTTATACGTTCTACTGAACGACCCTGTACAGGATGAAATGAAGGTTCCGTTCTGGCTAACCTTTTTGTGAGCAGAAATAACTCAACAGTATGAACTTGAATACTTACACAATGAAAAAGATGTCATAGGATTTCAAACAGAGATGTCTATTAGTACATGATTAACATAAAGAATGAGCTAACCTGCTTCAATAGCATTCAAGGCCGACCTGCGATAATCTTCAACCACTTGTGAGATGTCATAGGTTCCAATTGCTCTTGGTTTTGGATAAATCCCATGAGTTCCATCAGGCATCAGAATTCTCCACCTCTTTGATATAGGCTTCTCAGTAGATGATATTGGTGCAGCTCCAGCAGGTTGATACACTAATGAAGTGATAAGCATGAGCTTAGTAAGATAACTAATTTGAAACCTATGTTGCTCGAACTCTTAAAAATGTTGACTGATGCGGGTTTTTGGAGGATCCAACATGCATGGGTGCAAGTGCAACAACATTTTTGAAGAGTCTGAGCAACATAGTTTGAAACTATTGACTTCTTTATATGAACTGTCAAAGAGAAATGGAGATAAAGAGAGGAATGAACATGCAGTATCGCATTTTCCTAATGAGGGAACAGTTGCAAAAGTTGGCCTTTGATAGATAAAGAGAATAAAATGAGAGAAAAAGCAATGCATGTGGAAATTTTTCTTCTTCATAAGATATATGATAAAAGGACTAACTTGCACACAACTTGTCTATTTTACCAGATACTTCTTACCTCCCACCAATGTATTTAGCCTATTTCTCTTTAGAATAGTGTTGAACTGTTGATTGGACTAGCTTGCACACATCTCGATTATTTCATCAAGTACTTTCTACCTCCCACCAATGCATCTAGACAACACTTTTCTTTATAACAGTAGTGTCTAGACTAGCTACCGCACACCTTGACTATTTCATTGAGTATTCTTCCGCATCCCACCAACACATCTAGAAAACATTTTTCATTATAATGGTGGTGTCCAAACTAACTTCACACCTCGACTATTTCACTTAGTATCTTCTAGTTCCTGCAAATACACCTAGCCAATATTTTTCTTTATAACACTGATGTCTAAATTAGCTTGCACATACCTTGATTATTTCACTGAGTACCTTCTACCTCCCACCAATATAGATATCGAACTAGTTACAATGCATCTAGACAGTATTGAGCATTCATGATCCTAACTTAGTGTAAACGTAACAACTTTTACCTTCATGAGATGCACGACCAACATGCCACAGCTGACAAAATATGACAGCACCCTTTGCATGCACTACATCAACTATTTTCTTCCATTCCTCTACTTGCTCCTTTGTGAAAATCCCTGGTACATGAGGAAACCTGAAAACCCCCACCACAATGATATATCAGAAAAGAAATTCTCAAGAAACTAATTTGATAATGATTCTTTTGGAGGTAAATACATATTTGCATCAGGTGTTTACATCGAACTAAGCAATTAATCTTGAAAACTAACAAATTAAGGTGAAACTACATGTTACTTAATCATGTGTGTTAAAAGATGTATATGGGAAATATATCTTACATTAGGAATGAATTAATACGGGGCAAGGTGGGAGTGATCTCTACGGTGGACAAAATGAGGAAAATGAGATTGAGATGGTTGGAACATGTGAAGAGAGGAGGGGCGCAGATGCACCATTAAAGAGATGTGAAAGATTGGTTTAGCAAGAATTAGGAGAGGTGGAGGTAAACTGAAAGAGAGTTTAGAAAAACGTGATTAGACAAAACATAACACATTTGCATGCATAGCAAGGACATGACCCTAATACAATGATTTGAAAGTCAAGAATTAAAGTAGAGGGTTGGTAGATAACCGAGTATTATCAAGGTTGACCTTCTTGCCTCTCAACTTCACCTTGTTCTTATAGTTCCTTCAGACACTACTCGTAGAATCACACTAAATACATTATTATCGTTATTATCGGCATAGGTGATAACATTTGGTACAAGTATGTTTTAACTTTTAACTTTCCATTTTATTTTTAATAAGATTATTTATATTCACACAAATATTTAGTATAACTTGATTCAAACCAATAATTTAGAAGTATTGATCATTTTATTTAATTCTACGTCCAATTAAACACGGCCACATAATTAGGCAGATTCAAAAATTTTAGGTCCGGATTCAAGGTAAACCCAAAAACTTTAGCTCATAACCTGGGTATTTATTATAATTTTTAAATTTCACTGAGTATATAAATATTTAATTAGTATTATAAATAAATTTAAAATCACTTTAAACGCGCATAAACTTCAAATATTGAATTCAATAAATATAAATATATAATACTCCCTCTGTTCCTTTTTATATGTCATCTCTTTCTATAAGTAGTTGATCCATAGTACTTGTCATTTCATAAAATCAATGAATAAATTACCATATTATTCCTTTTTTATCCTTGTGAGTTATTAGTTCATTGGTTAAATTAATTCATATTCATTGATTGAAAATTTGATTTTCAAAAATATTAAATAAGGATAAAAGGTAAAGCTACATCATTTCTCGATGTAAATGCAAAATAAAAATAAAAAGGAACGGAGGGAGTATCGGGAGTGGAAAAATACCACACACCACAAAATTCCACTAATAAATTAATTAACGCACTATACACGTGTAAAGACAACTTTTTTAATGGTATAACGTGGGGCCAATAGCAGCCGTAATTGACTACTGTCTTACCGAAAAAGCCCCTAAAATGTAATCAAATTTACAAACACATACCCAGCTGAAGTCGGGGAAATCATAGTGCC